TTTTATTTTTTCTAAAACTCTTATAAAAATGTTACACGCAAAACATTTTTTCACACAATATTAGATGTAACGTGAGGTGATTGTTGTTTTAACCTTGCACATGATTTTGACCATTTTTAAAGCTGTGAAAAGGTACAATTAAACACGTTAAAAACATTACTAGTAATTTTGAGTAATTAAATAAAAATTAAATCCGAGTTAGTACTAGTAGTATTGTATTGTTTAAGAAAGCCATAGATTTATTTAATAATAAATGAAAAAACCCCCATCCCTAGAAAAGACCCAGTCTGTCGTCTCTCAGACGGAATCGTGTCCAAAACAGCTCTCCCACTCCAACAACGCGTGCACAATAAGACTAGAAAGATGTTGAATTTGATCATCGAAACTTGCCGCCCCTCTCTCTCTCCCGCCGCGTACATTTCCCTTTCCCTTTCCCTTTCTTCATCTCCCCTCTCTCTTCTTCTTCTTCTTCTTCATCCTTAATAGCAGCAGTACTAATAATAAAACCCCACAATTATCAGAGACAGAGAAACAGAGAGACAGGAGAGGTCACAAGGAGAAGTTAGCATTTCACTGTGTACATTAAATTTGTTAATGGCAAATTCAAGCAAGTTCAACGCCAAGAAGCAGTCTTACATTTCGGTTCCGTCTCAGATTATCAGCTCTATATCGTCTTCCTCCCTTCACTCCCTCCTTCTTTCCCCCAAGAAAACCAACTCCAAAACCAAAAGCTTCTCACGCTTATGGAAAAGCCCAAGGCTTTGGTTCTTGGCTCTCTTTTTCTTTGCCCTTTTTGGCATGTTCGATCATGATCGTCTAATCCCATGTTTGATCACAGCTCATCAATCTCAGGACTTGGTACACCAAAATGTTGGTAACAAATTTGGTATTATTAGTGCTCATCACCATCCGCATCCCCAGGAAAATGCAGGATTCCATTATTCAGATCAAGTTAAAGATGGGAAGATTCAGGTCTCTGATTCAGGTACAAATGGTGGCAATGGGTATTTGGAAAGTGAGTTTTGGAAGCAGCCAGATGGAATGGGATACAGACCCTGTATTGGCTTCAGTAGGGAGTATAGGAGAGACAGTGTGGCAATTGTCAGGGGCAGGAGAAAGTACCTGCTGGTGGTGGTTTCCGGCGGCATGAATCAGCAGAGGAATCAGATTGTGGATGCTGTGGTCATTGCTAGGATTCTTGGAGCTGCGTTAGTGGTTCCCGTCTTGCAAGTCAATGTCATATGGGGTGATGAAAGGTATAAATTTGTTGTAGTTTCATGAATTTAATCCCTCTCTATTCGGCTATTCTCATCATTGGAATTTTGGAGTTGGAACCTTCAATTAAAATTTTTTACTTTACAAAACTGATTAATCATTTATGTTTCATTTAGCTGGTATATATGGTATCCATTTTTTTGCTTTGCTTAGGTCGTGGTATATATTTCTTCTTCTCTTCCTACCTTTTACATTCTCTTATTTGAATTAAAAATTGTTAATTACTTTGATTCTGTCTGCATTCTGGAACTGAGAACTAATGTTAAATATATACTTGCTTGTTGCTGTGGTTTTGTTTGATGGTTGCAGTGAATTTTCTGATATCTTTGATTTGGAGCACTTCAAGAGGGTTCTTGCCAATGATGTGCATATAGTTTCCTCATTGCCTTCCACTCATATAATGACAAGACCTGTAGAGGAGAGTCGAACTCCACATCATGCCTCACCTCAATGGATTCGTTCACATTATCGTAGGCGGGTGAGAATTAACCTTTTTCTTCAATGTCTGCAAGTGTTTGAGAATTAATGGAACAGTTTAACATAATTAATTAATATTTGTCTATTCTCGTAGTCATAATATTAGTTAATTTGTGCTGATTCAACCGTGCATCTGTCTTTCTTTGCTAAACAGATCAACAGGGAAGGAGTTTTACTTTTAAGAGGTCTGGACTCAAGGCTTTCTAACGACCTACCTTCTGATCTTCAAAAGCTTCGTTGCAAGGTACCCTTTTTTTTTTTTAAGTAAAACTTTCTTTTCTTCCTCACTTTGGTCTCTGAAATCAGTTTCTAAAAATTGTTACTTGTTTTTCTCAAGGTGGCATTTCAAGCACTTAGGTTTGCTCCATCAATTCTTCAACTTGGTAACACTCTTGCAGGGAGGATGAGGAGTAAGGGAGCTTACCTTGCCCTTCATCTTCGGATGGAAAAGGATGTATGGGTGAGGACTGGTTGCCTTCCTGGTCTTACCAAGGAGTATGATGAGATTGTAAACAATGAGAGGAAACAACGGCCTGAGCTTCTAACTGCAAGATCAAACATGACTTACCATGAGAGAAAGCTTGCAGGACTCTGTCCTTTGAATGCTTTTGAAGTGTTGAGGTAATGAATCTATTCAATTGATGAATTTTTTAAACTATGAAATCTATTAATCAACTGACCTCACATTTTGTACGTTTTAGGCTGCTCAAAGCTTTGGAGGCTCCAAAGAATGCAAGAATATACTGGGCTGGAGGGCAACCACTTGGTGGGAAGGAAGCATTACTACCATTAACCAGAGAATTTCCCCATTTCTACAACAAGGAAGATCTTGCATTGCCTGGCGAACTTGAACCATTTGCCAATAAGGCTTCTTTAATGGCTGCCATTGACTATATTATTTGTGAGAAAAGTGATGTCTTCATGCCTTCTCATGGGGGAAATATGGGCCATGCAATTCAGGTATGCATATGTAATCTCCAATCCATTAGGAATTTAGCAATTCAATTTTATTACTTCCAGTTGCTGTCTCTTAAATAAAACTGAAATTCTATTCTGTTATCCATACAGGGACACAGGGCATATGCAGGGCACAAGAAGTACATAACCCCAAACAAAAGACAGATGCTTCCTTATTTCTTGAACTCTTCTCTTCCTGAAGCAGAGTTTAACAGAATCATAAAGGAATTGCACCGAGAGTCTTTAGGACAGCCAGAACTGAGAACTAGAAAAGCTGGAAAGGATGTGACAAAGTATCCAGTCCCTGAGTGTATGTGCAATGATTCACGTTCTCAGCACTCTTTGTGATGGAGGAGGATAATTATATATACACCAGGACTGCAGATTGTTTTACTCAAGATCATAAGAATTTTTGGTGCCTATCCTGAGTTGGAGCCCTTTAAAAAGGGATGATTTTTCAGGGCAATGATGGTTCATTAGATTAGAGCACCATTTTGAGCTGCCTGCCAGCAATTTTTGGGAGGAGAAAGGTACTACTCGCTTTTTTTCTTTGGTCACAGGATATACTTGCAAGTATGTATGGATTTGATGCGCAATAGGTATCACATATCATATAGTGATTATAGCATACCACAATTTGATTCTTTAATTCTTTATACGATTTTCTGTGTGTTTATCTGAGGCATAATTTCTGTCCTCATTGCATTCTTTGCACTAAATATACATATGTACCACACTATATATACATGTATATATATGTCAATAAAAACTATTTGTTACTGTTGTACTGCTCGGCTTCTCATCCCCTCCATCTAGAAATTCTGATTTAAGTTTCTATTTAATAAACTACTACTTGTTATATTGCTCCTCATCAAGTGAATGGGCAGATAAAATATTTAAAATCATCATTGCTTTTGTTCTTTGAATCATGGTTTGGAGACACTGTAACAATGGTGTTTTTGTCTAGTTCGTTACTGCTTCATCATCTATGGATCCTCAGTTAAGCATGTTTGTGATGTTCTTTACTGAAGCACACACTCTTCCAACACAAATTCTATGCCCTTGTGTCTGCCATTGCCAAGTATGCATTTTGAGGTTGCAAATAACACTTGTTTTGCTTCGGATCTGGAACTGCCTGCCATCAAATCTTTATGCTTTGCATTCATAATCTGAGGCATTTTCTTACATACGCTACGCATATCCATTTTTACAACCAAATCCCTCGTTTGGTAAACTTCCATTCTGTAAACCAGAAAACAAAGCTCGTCAATAGAAAAGTAGATCAACTAGCAATGGCCACCCTCCTCAATTTTTCTGAAAAACAGAACACAGAGCTTGTACATTTTAGCATGCAGTAAACAAAAATGATCATCCAGCAGAATGGATATAACCTCATATTTGGGGCTCAGAAAGCATTGGGTTCAACTTGGAAGTGATTTCTTCATATGCTCTTTCTTGTTGTACATCAATAAGCCCATAACTCTTTAAAAACCTGTATTTGGTCTATCAATATCAGATTATCAGGGACGCATAATATCACAAGAAATAAAAAATTAAATTATTGCTGCTTTGGGAAATAGAAAGCACTAGTATGAGAACCCTCTATTTTATTTCAGGGAAATTTCACAGTTAGAGGTTTGAGTCTTCTGAAATACACAAATGTCTGGTAAAACATTCGAGCACATAACTTCTTGTTTTTCCTTCTAACGTCTTGTTCAAACTGAGATCTACAGTTAAGTTTTCTGAGATGGGCGGCTGCCTCTTCAAATATTAAGCCACTGCTCTGTATAGAAGAAATGCACAGATAAATTAGGGGCCACTAAGGCACGCATATGCCCTTTTAAGAACAAAGTTTCTTCCTTAGAGGAACAAGTTTAAGTACCTCGTTCTCACAGATAAGGAATAAGTCCTTGACCGGCTTGGGATTCTGCAATAAGCATGCTAAACTTATCCCATTCATAGTCATTGGACAATAAAACACCGAATCAAGGGCATTACAAATATAATAAAATTAAAAGGCTACTCACCATTTGGGGAATTATTATCTGCTTCAAGAAAGTAAAGATCCTACAAAATAATTTATGGAGTTAAAAGCACAATCTAAAGAGATGATGCAAAAAGATTCTTAAAAAAAAATTCTGAAGGCACACAACATCATTTGCAAAAAGAGCAAAACATTGAAGCTTACATCTGCCTCAGCAGAACCTGCCATC